TCGATCGCTGGAGCCCAGCAGGTCGAGGCTGCGGTGGCCGGGAGCGGCCACTGCACTCCAGTCTGGGTGACAGAGTGAGACTCCAACTCAAAAAAATAAAATAAAATAAAATAAAATAAATAAATAAATAAATAAATTTAAAAGAAAAAGAAAGAAAGAAACCAAAATCTGGGCACGTTTCAGATTAGTTTTACTTGTGGCATTTCTGCACAGGACTTAGACATGATTCCTGTGGGGCAGGGGTGACAGACACCTCCTCATGTCTAGAGCAAGACTACTGTTCCTGAATCTGGGGGAACCTCAGCTCTCCCAGCTCTCCAGAGGGACAATGACCGAGCTGACCTCCCCAGCTATACACCCTAGGCTCAATTTGGGATGCCAGCTGTAGAAAATATCTCCAAACACTTGGGAAATTATTGGAACCTGGATTTAGTTGTTTTAAAGTTCATCTTGAGAGGGAGGACTGAAAAAAATATATGCTTAAGCACAACCTCTCACTTACTATCTAGTTTGGCTAAAAATATACATGTGCATCTAGTGATGCAGTTGAATGTAGAGACCATAACTTTAAACTCAGCCAGAAAATCCCTGCACTGCTACATATAAGCCCTGTCACCTGGGGAACTTGATCGTTGCAAGCATCTGCTTCCCTGCCTGGAAAATGAGAATTATGCCTACCTTGCAGAATGTTTTGGGGCCTGGAGAAATGTGTCAAGAGACAGAGACATTGTCCAACGGGTAGGAAGCAGTCATTCACAGCATACCTCTCTAATGTCATGTTGGGGTCAGTAGCTTTACTTACACAACCTTTTGGGATTAGCAGACTTTGCCCATGAAAGACAGCTAGTGCTGGCTGGGGGGTCAAGGGGTTAACCTGCTTTCCAAGGATTTATAGGCTGCAAAACTACATCCTTTCATTAGCAATATATAGCCATCTTTCCATATTATTTCTTTCCTCTAGTGAACCCGCCACATTTCAGAAATATCACCAAGTGAGTTTGCTTGCAAGATTTAACCAAGATCTGGATAAAGTGTCAGCGATTTCCCTGGTGTTCTCTACAGGATCTGTAATAGGCCCAAAGTACAAGCTCCGGATTCTCCGAATGAAGTTAAGGTCCCTTGTCCATCCAGAGAGGTGAGCCGAAAGCAGTTTGTCCGACAAGCTTCTGGTTTCCAAAGATGTTGTTGAATCCTGTCCAGTCTGCTTGCTTTGATGTTTTAACAAGACTATTTTCATTCACAATGAGAAAAGTGAAGGGTTCTCCAAAAATAGCTTTTATTGAAAGCAAGTAGCTCAGCCAGATGAGATGGCATGTGCCTGTAATCCCAGCAATTTGGGAGGCTGAGTCAGGAGAATCACCTGAGCCCAGGAGTTCAAGTTCAGCCTGGACTACGATGGACTTTAAAAAAAATAAATCGTACCATTTCATAGACCCACCAGCAATGAATGAAGGTGGTGAGTCCTGGTCTCAAAATAAAAATAGATAAAAACAAAAAACAAAAAAACAAGTAGCCCAGTACTTCAACAAATTACATTGTTATATGCTTAAAGATAAATGTCCCAGGAATCCAAGGAAATAATGTGATTAAATGTTTAGAGTTATATAGTTCCTCCCTAACCACCCACATTGCTTGTAAGTTGATATCTGCTATAGAAAGGAAAGGTCTGTATAATTTGGCAAACTGATAAAGCAGGGCCTAGTATTTATTTATTTATTTTTTGAGTTGGAGTCTCACTCTGTCGCCCAGACTGGAGTGCAGTGGCCACTCCCGGCCACCGCAGCTTCGACCTGCTGGGCTCCGGCGATCCTTCCGCCTCAGCTTTCCGAGTAGCCGGAATTACAGGCATGTGCTACCACGCCCAGCTGATTTTTTGATTTATTGTAGAGATGAGGTCTCGCTGCCCGGGCGGGTCTCGAACTCGCGGGCTCAGGCAATCCACTTACCTCAGCCTCCCAAAGGCATGGGATTACAGGCTGAGCCACCGAGCCTGGCTAGGGCCTAGTATTTAAAAGGTACATAAAATTTGGAATATTTTATGCCTTTAACAGTATAAAAGTATAGTTTCTTAAATTTGATAACTGCCCTGAAAATGTCTTTGTTATTCAAAATACACCCTGAAGTATTAGCTGGTAAACAACCCATTCTCAACTGGTTCAGGAAAAAAACCAACCAACAACAACAATGTGTGTGTGTGTGGAGAGGGACAGAGAAGGAGAAGCGGGAGAGAGAGAGAAATAATGATTTTTTTTTTTAAAGTACATAGCTGTGTTCATATGTATGTTTTGGGACAAATACCACTCTATCATAGGTTTCTAGCATTTAACCTATGGACAGAGAGGGATAAAAGAAATTATGTAAGCAGTTAGTGCTTTGCATTTATGAATTACTTTTCCTTGAAGGTTTAGGGTACCCTAAAATATTTAGTAATACAAGTGACTATCCTTCAAAGAGGATAGTCATTACATCCTAAAACTGAGAAGCTTTTATACCTTTTTTCCTATCAGAGGATTACATGTTCATGTACTTTCCAGATTTTATAAAATCTGGAAAGTACAGAAAGTATTAGGAAGCAGAAAAATATTACCCATATTGTCATGATTCAGGGGCAACCACTGTTATATTTTTGGTTATTTCTTTCTAATCGTTATTATTGTTTTTAAACCTACTTGAAGTTATGTGGCAAATAAAGTTTTATAGCCTGCTTTTTTTGTTGTTGATGTTTTACTTACCATAAGGATGTTCTTATATTATTAGAATAATTGCTAAATAATTTTATATTCTAAAGATATATTTTATTTTACTAGAATGGAATATTCTGTTGTTGTTGTTGTTGTTAAATAGAGACAGAGTCTTGCTATGTTGCCAGGCTGGTCCTGAACTCCTGGCCTCAAGTGATCTTCCTACCTTGGTCTCCCCAAGCACTGGGATTACAGGCATGAGCCACTGTCCCTGGCTGAATGTGGCATTTTTATAATCCTATTGACAAGGATATTTTGTCTTATATTCCCAGGCCCCAGTTGTGTCGGTATGATCTTGTCCTGAGGGAAAACGTTGAAACAGTCTTCCAACCTATTCTTTGCCCAAAGTTGCAGATGTAACTGTTGACAGAACACACACCGGTAATATCAAGAAAGCTACAACAACAGCATCTTACAAAGCTTCATCTCGCTTATTCCTCAAGGCACAAAAAGAATGGAAAAACCAAGATTTTTTTCAGTAGCGTCCTCTGGCTGTCATATTACGCAGCATCAAACAACCTTGTGATTATAAAACAGTCCTGCGAACAGAGCTCCTAACTAGGGCAAGTCAGAAATAGCCAGGCTTGCGGCAGCGCGGCACTGTGTCTGTTGCGTCCTGGGGCCTCATTTGTTCCAACCTGTCGATTTGCTGCCTATCCATCCCGTCGGCGGGTTTGTCCATCGTGGCTACAGGTCAGGCATTGTAAAGGGAAGGACAGGTTGGAGGCCTCGCTTTGGATTCTGCATTCCCTGTGCCAAATTCCTCCAGTTCCTGCATGTAGTCGGGAATGAAACTGACCTACCTCACTCAGGGTTTGGGAGGCAAGTCTATGTATGAAGGGTTTTTTGAAATCCCATGGGTACCGCATTTATGAGATGTTTGAGAAATGTGAATATGCTTTTATTTATTTTCACAGGTTTTTGTCTAAGTTGCAATGAGAGAGCCTCTTTTTATCAACACCAGCTTGTCCCTTGGGCTGTTTCCTCTGGGAAGGTCAGAGAGCCACACCCTGGCCTCCTGCCTTCTCTGAAGTGGTGTTGGGGCCCAGAGGAGGTGGAGGATGTGGGCATGGACTGGCAGCCAAGAGGCCAGGGGCTGGGACTAGATTGCAAGTGGATAAGGAAAGAAGGGCAGAGGAAGCAGTGGGGCCGCCTTGAGGCACATGACAGAGGATGGATGGGACAAGAGGCAGGAGACAAAAAAGCACAGTTTGAGCCCGGCTCGGTGGCTCAGCCTGTAATCCTGTGCCTTTGGGAGGCTGAGGAGTGGATTGCCTGAGCCCGCCGGTTCGAGACCCGCCTGGGGCAGCAAGACCTCATCTCTATAATAAATCAAAAAATTAGCCGGGCGTGGTAGCGCATGCCTGTAATTCCGGCTACTCGGAAGGCTGAGGAGGAAGGATCGCAGGAGCCCAGCAGGTCGAGGCTGTGTTGGCCGGAAGCGGCCACTGCACTCCAGTCTGGGCGACAGAGTGAGACTCCAACTCAAAAAAAAAAAAAAAAAAGCACAGCTTGTTCTTCACCATTTTTTGGTCAAGGTCTCATTCTGTCATCCAGGCTAGAGTGCAGTGGTATGATCATGGCTCATTGAAGCCTCCACCTTCTGGGCTCACGCAGTCCTTACGCCTCAGCCTCCCTGGAACTACAGGTGTGCACCACTGTGCCCAGTTAATGTTTTGATTTTTTGTAGAGCCGAGGTCTCACTATGTTGCCTAGGCTGGTCTCACACTCCTAGGCTCAAGCAATCCCCTCACCTCGGCCTCCCAAAGTGCTGGGATTACAGGCATGAGCCACCACACCGAGCCTTAAGACATGCTTGTTTTTCCATATTCCCAATGTAATCTATGATTATTGAAGGAAATTTAGAAAACACATAGATGCAAAATGAAGAAAATACTATTCATGATACCACCTAGTAGAGGTAATTAATGTTAACCGTTTGGAACAAGGCTATAACTTGTTTTGCTAACATGTGAATTAGAAGCATAAGCTGGTGTGCTCTGTGCTCTTGGATTATCTGAAGCCTGCAATTTGAGGTTTTCCCGGAGGTCAGTGCAATCTGTGAATTCAGAATGACAGCAGCAGTCAAGTCAAGAGGGGCTCGAGGGCCAAGGCCAGAGAGGCTGGAATGAAGGGAGAACAATCCCTGGGGCCAGCTGTCCAGTGTGAGGGTGGGCAGGATCTGTCCCACAGCTGTAGCCACTGAAGGGAGATTTGTGGGAATCCTGAGTGTCACAGGCCGGTCATCTCCTCTTATTCAAGTAATTGTTCTTCATCTGCTTTCTGTGAAATCAGCCCTTGTAACGATATGAACTCTCTAATTCATAAATTATAGAAGTCTGTAAGTACGTTCCTGTGTGGCACGTCTTCTTACACACGTACATGTATAGCAAATACAGAGTCTTTTTCTTTTTTTGAGTCAGAGTCTCACTCTGTCACCCAGGCTGGAGTGCAGTGGCACGCTCACGGCCCCCCCAAGGTTGACCTGCTGGGCTCCGGCCATCCTTCTGCCTCAGCCTTCCAAGTAGCCAGGACTACAGGCGTGCGCTACCACGCCCGGCTAATTTTTTGATATATATTGTAGAGATGAGGTCTCAAGTTGCCCAGGCGGGTCTCAAATCCCTGAGCTTAGGCAATGCTCTCACCTCGGCCTCTCAAAGTACTGGGATTACAGGCTTGAGCCACTGCTCCTGGCCTCATAGCAACTATTTAAGTTTTTTTTTTTTTTTTACATTTATTTGTGTGATTGTTTAATGTCTGTCTTCTCCGCCTCAGCCTTCCAGTAGCTGGACTGCTCTGCAAGGCAGAGCCCATGAGCATGGAATATAGTCTGTGTTCAGGAAAAATGTATTAAATGAGCACTTTCTATGTGTGGCCCTCTGAGGCCTGTGGAACCATCTTCAGTTGGTAAAGGCTCCTCCTCCACCCCAGCCATAGCCCATTTCCACCAGGACACCTAACCTTCTCTACCTTGGACTTTCCTCCCAGACACTTTTGTTCCTATTGCCTCTGTTGTCTTTGGAGGCCAATTGCCCATTTCCCAAGTTCTCCGGAAAAAAGGGAAGTTGGCTCCTTTGTCACTCCTTATCACATCTTCCAGGTGGTCCCAAAACCATTCCTCAGCAAACCCACTTGTCCGGAAGTCCAGGAGATTTTGCACACATTCCCCACTTCCCTGTCTTCTGTTTTGCTAAAACCCCCCCGGGACCTTGCGACATGACTGGATGACTCTAGGCTCTATTTCACAATCCTTTTGAACAAGTCTCCCTTTCCACAAGTCTCTCTTCCTCCACCCACTTTGCCACCCACTCTGTGCGTGCTTCCATCTCTGCTGTGATTGTGCCATATTGTGATATGTTTCTTTTTTTTGTGTGTGTGAGTTGGAGTCTCACTCTGTTGCCCAGACTGGAGCGCAGTGGCCGCTCCCGGCCACCGCAGCCTCGACCTGCTGGGCTCCGGCAATCCTTCCGCCTCAGCCTTCCAGTAGCTGGAACTACAGGTGTGCGCTACCACACCTGGCTAATTTTTGATTTATTGTAGAGATGAGGTCTTGCCAAGTTGCCCAGGTGGGTCTCGAACCCACGGGCTCAGGCAATCCACTCACCTCAGTCTCCCAAAGTGCGGGGTTCCAGGCTGAGCCACCGAGTCCGGCTTGTGATATGTTTTTGTGTCTGTAACTCCTCCGAGAGCATGACAAAAATGGCTGCTGCTCTTGTTTTTGCCTCCCCAGCATCTTGCACAATGCCAGGCACAAAGTAGGTGCTCAATAAATATCTGCTGAACACAATGGAATGGATTCGTGCTTAGGAGCTTGAGGGAGTCACCTCGACTCTGATGCAGACCTCAACACACTTAACTGTGTTATTTCCAAAATCCTAAATTCAGAGCCCCCTGCCCTTGAACCTTTCCCCCTTACTCCCATTCCTACAGAACTCCATCCTAGCCAAGGAGACTTTGGATGCCAGGAACAGAAATACACTCACGTTAACCCATATTTTATAGATTATTGAGAAATAGAAAAGACTTGTGGAAACCCAGGAAGAAGTGAACCATCAAACCCCAGGAAGGGCAGGAATGGGCAGCCAGCCCTGGAGCCTTCTGCCTTTGTTAATCCTAGTGCTCTGCCATGAGTGTCTATGACTGAGCTCAACTCCCTGCATGGGGCAGCTTCATTGGGTTCTTGGCCACTCACTGACTTTGGTCCAATTCCAAAGTCCAGGGAGAGGAAATAGCCCTTGGATTCTCCTCCCCAGAAAGATGTCCATCCAGTTCCAATCAGCTGTGTTTGGGGTGGAAGTGGGGAAAACACCCTGTGGTCTTCACAGCTACTCCTTTCAATTGCTCTGGGCACTGCTGATTAAGCCAGAAAGGTTGCAAACTATTGACAAGGAGGCACGGTGAATGCCTGGCTAATTTACTCTCATTAAAACCTCTTACTTTTTCTTCCTTTCCACTTTCTGAGCCATTGGCACTCACCTGGTGGGGATTGTGGTTGTCCTTTGTCAGATTGCATGGGAATGTTCTATAAATGAGTGGTCACAGCGGAGACTGGTTAGGAGTTGGCTCTGGAGGTGCTGGGTTAGGGGCTAGGAAGGTTGGGGAGACTGAAAACAGAATGAAGGTGGGTTGGGATAGGGGAGCACAATCCGGGGCTTCCTCCCCAAGCAGTCAGGTTGAGCAGGAGGGATCAGGACAGGAGTCCAGCAGGGCAGGTCCAGGGGAGTAGGGCAGTGGGAGCAAGCAGATGCTTGGGAAGTGAGCTGTAGAAAAGCAGGTTAGCACCATCCGAAAGAGTTCTACCAAAGGTCTCTTACCACCTTGCACTGGCCAAATCTCATGACCCCCAGTGTCAGGACTCTAACATTTCCTTTTCTTTTTTTTTTTTTGAGTTGGAGTCTCACTCTGTCGCCCAGACTGGAGTG